AGCAATAACAAAGGCATTTAGAACATACAATGGGCTCATTTTATTTCACGGTCATCATCAGCTACAAGCAACCTACAATTGAAATGAAATATTTTGGTAGCAGTGATAATGACGTAACAAACCTTAGATATGTAGAAATAACTGAGGATTTAAAATCCAGTATTAACAATAAGGTAGTAAGTCAGTGAGCTGAGGAAATACAGGGTTAATAATCAAAAATCTTATTCAAAATCAATGGTAATTTATATCTGGTCAAAGTTTACAACATAGTATGCTGAATGACGCAGACAAAAGTGGACAAATATCCATCTCATATCACCTTTACTGTGTATATCGATTCACCTATGCTTGTGGAAGTAAGCACATAAAAAAAAAAAGAAAAAAGAGCATCTATTCGATTTTATGAATATATTCCGAGAAATCTGTATCTGAAAGGCAGAAAAGACTTCATCACGGCAATCCCCAAGCACCTGATGGAGACAGGAAATCATACAGATATTTTTCAATCCTTCGGGATAATCAACTAACATAGAATGCCATGTTTATTACGGTTTACATCAGCTCTCATCATCAAGCATTTTCAACCTGACCTTTATACTTAGAAAGAAACTTTCACGAACCTCCATTTTGGAAAACCAGAGAAGGCAAACTGTCAGGTCCTACTGCTTTGTATCGTTTCAGGTTCGATACAGCATTCTGAACTTCGAAGAGAGTCGGAGGACCGACATCTACATCCTATTCAAGTTCAGGCCGGATACTGGCCAACTGAAGGGTTGAACTGTGCTTCGAAGTATTCTCCCCAATATCCAAGACACTCGACGGGAGGGACTATCGGTGATGACCTCATTAACAATCATCTTCTTCGTGCTTGGATCCTTATTACTATTTGTCCTTTGGGTTCCTAGTGAAAAATAGGGCTTCAGTAGCACGTCTCCATTGCACTCTCTTCTCTCCAATCACCTAAACCTGGCTCCACAAACGCCCATAAGCTTTCACTTCTTCCTCACACAATCTCCTCCACGTCACCCTTGCCTCCGACGCCCAATCCGTCGTTCCCCATTTCGGTTCAACTCGACGGCCCGGCGTGTGATGTCCCCGAATGGTTTTCTTAGTGTATTTCCAGTCCAATCTATCTTCACTTTCTTCCTCTGTATATTTCCTGGGTGATAAGTTGTTGGTTGGTTCGTTGGCAGGCCAGAGTGAGTTCCTCCTTCCTTATTCTTCCTAGCCATCTCATCTGATCCTCAGTATCGAGTCAGCGTTGGCGGCAGCTGTTCATGTGAGGTATGTCTGCAGCTTGTTGGAAATGCTCTTCGTAACGTGTCAAGTCTCTCAACCATCACATAGAAGCCCTGACTTACTTAACTTGCTTAGTGTTGAAAATCCAGACCTTGATTCTTATTGGTGTTGTAGTTGTTGGTTGGGTATCTTCATCACCTTTTTCTTCACTACGTTCAAATGAAGAAAGTCCCGTCTTCGCTGCCCTAACCTGCCTCTTCTAACAACTTGTAGACTTTTGCCTGAATATCTTCGAGTCTGTGCGACACAAGACAGACATAAATAGTCATCATAGGCGAAATCCGAATCTTCTAGGGTCTTTTCATCTATCAAACAGCGTATGTCCATCTTCTCACAGTTTGTTGCATCATTCAGTCCCGTCTAGTTCAGTCGACCACAATCAAGAAGACTATGGGTGGTGGTAGGTGGCAACCTTGTCTCACTTCTCCCTCTCTTCACTTCAAAGGAATCACTGAGTTTTTCCTTGTGAATCACTTGGCATGTAGTATGTAGCATCATATATATATATCATGTAGATTCTGTTGAATGAGGTTGATAAAGGTTTGTGTCAGTAAAACTGTAGTGTTAAAGCAGCTGCCAAATCACTTCTTGGTCGACGCTATCGAAGACGTTTTCAAAGTCGATGAAGTTGATGCTAAGTTGAGTTGACTGCGATTCTGTGTTCTGTTCTGTAGTGATGTGTAGCGTAGTGTTGGAATTTGATTGGCACATGACTTGTTCTTCTAGAATTCAGCCACCCCACCAGCTTGTTCACATCGTAATCCATTTGAATCCAGAGCAGTTTTTAGTCTCTCCAGGATGATGCGGTCTAATATTTTGCTTGTTGTGGACAGCGTTGGAGCATGATTCCTTGCCAGTTCTCGCAAAGACTTAGGTTACACTCTTCGGGAGTTTGACAAGGTAGGCCTTCTTCCAATCAACAGACAGGTGCCTTTCCTTACTTCATTCTTTCCAAACCTTCTGTGATAGAAGTGGTGTTAGAATGTCTGCTGTTGTCTCTGCGTCCGTTCGCAGTGCTTGTGGAGGAATTCCATCTGTTTCCGCTGCTTTCCTGGATTTCAGCAGCTTTATGGTGTTGAGGACTTCACTTCTGCTTTTGTCGGAGGGCTTGTGTTCACTGGTAATTCTGTGGCTGGGTGCTGGGCTGCAAGTGGTATTTCTGGACGAGTTGCAGGTGGTGGGGATAGTCGATTGAAGAGTTTTTTGAAGTGATCAGCCCATTGTTTCGTTTATTTCTCCTCTTTGGTGACTAAGTTTCCTTCACTATCTTTCAATGATTTCATATGTCTTGATCTCTTCCCTCCCAGATAGTAATCTGGCTATTAGATAGAATGTTCTTAACGATAGCCTGTTCTGCTTTAGTGGTCAGCCCATCCTTTCCTTTGTTTCTCTTACTTGGTAATTATATTTCCTTCATCATCTTTTATTGGTTTCATCTGCATTGATCTCTTCCCTTCCAGATAGTAACCTGGTTATTTGATATAGTCTTATCACGCCTGTCTCTCCTACCAGCCGGCAGCCTGTTCTGTTTCACTTGCCAGTGTGTCGTAGAAGTGTCTTTTGTCTTTGCGCGCACTCTCCTTCACTTCTTTGTTCAGTGTACTGTTTTATAGGTTGTACTCACTTCCTCTTTTCCTTGTTCATCCTCGCACCGCACCGCACTGCACTGGTTTATCTTCTGCTTCACCATCCTCCTCTCCCTACTCCATAAGCTTCCATGTAGGCTGGCTGCATCTCCACTTTATTCACATTCAGATGAAGTCGATCTGAGTTTCAGTGTAGTGTGTCCATCTGGTCAAATGGAATGCATGTCGCTGCCGCCTTGTGAATATCCTTGTGTTTGTACACACTGCCTGACTCCAATCACCGAATTGTTCAATGCACAGAAGTCTGCAAACAGTTCTCCATTCTCACTCATCATTTCGCCGAGTGCCTCTCGACCCATGCATGATACATGAGTTCTCTTCCTGTGTTGTCTGCTCCCAGTTTGGCATTCATGTCACCCCACCCATTGGAATTTTCATGTCGCCATCTGGGGTGGTGTCTTGTGGAGTACTGATTGCAGTTGTCTGTAGAGTTCCTCCTTCTTCTCTTCATCTGTGTCTGCATCATTTGTAGGTGCATAGCACTGCACATTATATGATTGTGACTTTCCTTCCTTTCGACTTCGACCTTGCTGTCATGATCCTCATCCTGATTCTGATCATGGAGGAGGAGGAGGAGATTTGTTCCCAGTGGATGAGAGTGAGCCTTCGATGCTGTTGGAGACATTATGATTGCCACTCGAAGACTCAGTGTGCTTGTGGTTGTCGTGTGGGTGACAATATCGGAGTAGATTATTGACTCTGTAGTTGAGAGTTTGGAGAGTCGAGTCCACCCACTTCTACTCGATCTGCTTTCGCAGATTCCTAGCACTTCTATGCTTGCTATACCTTCTCATCTCTTTTGCAATCTGGTCATCAGCCTTTCCAGCTGGGTTTGAACACTGTGCGGACATTCCATGTCCTCATGTTTACTTTTGCTTTCATCGTGCGAGAGAGAATACACGTCGGTCAATTGGCTTCCCGAAGTCTTTCACCAACTGGCGTCATTTCGCCACTCTGATTGCAGTGACTATTTTTCTTCTCTTGGGTTTATAGTGGAATAGAGGGCTTTAGTAGCACACCTCCATTGAACTCTGTTCTCTGCAGTGTTTTGGACCTTGCTCCACGACTACCCTTGCCTCGTAAGCCCAACTCGTCGTTTGCCTTTGGATTCCGCTGGACGGCCTGGCACATGATGTCCCCGGTCGGCCTTCTCAGTGTATGCCCAATCCATCTGCAGTTTCTTCTGAATATTTGTTGAGCGATAAGTTCTTGGTTGGTTAGTCCCCATAGTTCCTTGTTGGTTATTTTCTGGCCATCTTTCTGATCTTGAGTATCGAATGAGCATAGGCAGCTGCTGATGAATGTCTGTAGTTTGTTTGGAAATGCTTTTTGTGTCACGCCAAGTTTCTGAATCATACAGCAGCACTGACTTGACTGAATTGGTGTTGAAAATCCGGATCTTGTTCTTTGTGCTGGGTGCAGTAGATCTCCATACCAATTTCAGACTAGTGAAAGCCTGTCCTACTTTTCCGATGCCGGCTTTAATGTCTTCGTCTGTGCCGCTTGTAGTTGAAACGATGCTGCCTAGGTAGATGGAAGATACAACTTTCTTCACATTTCTCCCGTTGATGGCGATTGGTGCTTGTTGTTGATGCTGTGGTTGGTTCGGTATCTTCATTACCTCCGTCTTCTCTACATTCACCGATTCCAGTGAGGAATAGGTTTAGTTTTACTTTTGATATTTTATTTGTGCTATGAAGTTTCTTTAGCGAACTTTCTTTCGTGAACTAGTTACCTAGGCGACGTTCACGCCTGGATCCTTATTTAGCCGAAGTAATTTCCGAGTATTTCTTGATACTGAAATCCCATTAAATATTCATTCTCTGATTTAGACTCAAATACAACAACTACAGCACATGGAAGGGTATCAAGTATCAGCACAAAATGTTGTCGTCCAATACTGATGTTGTAACATTCAGATATAAATCTAAATAATTGACCATCACTAACAGAAAGAGACAAAAGCCAAAAAGGTTAATAATGCAATAATAATTCCTTACGCTTACTTGCAGTAGTATGCGTGAGTGTACGTGAAAGCGAAAAAAAGAGTCAATATTACTCTTCACGATTATTCTCATTCTCATTGGAAATATCATTTTGAGGAGTGATATCTTCAAATAAATTTCCAATATAATTTAATGGATAACGTATTTGAATTGGTAAAGCTAGATAATCTTGATATGATATAACTTTCTTAGATTTTGTATCATTTGAAGAATTGAAATCATCCCGTGTGTAAGATGAGATGGGAATCTTCTCTTCTACAGATGTAGAAGTTGTACAAATATCTTCGTCTTGTTTATTATGCATCATAAAAATGAGCTGATGTTTACTTGGAAGAGTTTTCAATTTTCTTAAGTGGAATAAACACTACAAAAAGAAAAAAAGAACTGAGAATTTCCCAGCTAACTTGTATCAATTGACAAATCAGTGAGTATTGAACAGCGTTATTCTACTCTAGCTTGGGGATTTCCTGCAAGTATATAAACTCTATCTTGGTTCGTTGCATTGTTTGAATTTACAGGATCTGTGGTAAATATGTTATCACTAATAACGGCACTACTGCCACCAAAGAATAATACAACACCACATAATGCTGTTACAGTTCAGTGGCTCTGTGGAGTTGTGGCTCAGTGATTTATGGAGATGGCTATCAGCCAATGAGTCACAGGTTCTAACCCCGCTCCACTTACAGCGGTTTGGACAATCAGATAGTATTACAAGCCCTCACACAATAGGTGTGGTTCATTGCCTATTTCACGAATGTGTACAAAGTGCGTGAGTACGTTTTGTTCATTTCGTGCAATGGGTCTTAGACATAAGCATTAAGTCTCTGAATCACAGTTGCAACATAGAGATAACTTAATTTGGGGGTTCGTGGGATTCAGTGATTCGTCATGGACTGACATCAGCTGGAGGGACACTGGAAACTTGGGAGCACTGGGCTGCTGTTTCGTCCTAGTATGAGACTCCGCAGAAGTGGGCACCCATGAGCCCGCCAGGGATCGAACTCAGGATCTTCAGGTTTCTTGACCAGTCAGTCCAGAGTCCATGATGAATACCAACTTGAAAAATTACTAGATCCCCACAAACCCACAAATTAAAATTGATCTCATTAGTGACTAGCTTCGAGAGGTGATTCCTGAAGCTCCAATGAGAAGTCGTGAGGACAAACACTCAACGATGACATTGGGTGGTAGTCGCGCTATGTAGTGAACTGGCAGAATTTGGAAATATAAACCATCGGATTCTGACCCAGTGGCTCGATGATAACATGCAGGACACTGAACCTGAAGGTGCTGGGTTTGATCTCTGACGGGGTGGGCGGAGTCGTCATGGGTGTGCGCACTGTTGAGGAGTCTCATACTAGGCTCCCAATGTCCCTCCAACTGTCAGTTGATGATGAATATCAACCTGAAAACATAGAGATAAGACTGCAAAGTTAAAAGATACTTGATAATTAGATATGAAGTTTAAGACTGATTACTTCTAAATGCGTCTGAAGTGGTATTATGCATGACATTCATCGGTAAGCTTTGTCACATCTGTGAAACCTGCAAAACACGACCACTCATAATCATCTGAAATTGGATCTTTTTTCAGCAAGTTTCATTTGTAGAGACTTTCGAATCACAATATACTTCGCCCAATGAAATTCGATATTTCATAACTGTAGAAGTAAAGTGGTTTTTATTAATGGTACACTTTATAAATAAGTGAAACCATCGTCTTTTACGAATAGTTAGTCAAATTAGAAGAGAATTTAGCAAGTCTTGCCGACTAACAATATGATACACTCTTGTGAAGGATCTTCCTAGAAAGATCGGAACGTTGAGGAATGATGAAGAATATCTGTTTACTTAGTTTTTTCTTCCAAGATACTAAGCTGAGATTGCACAAGTAGAAAACACCTTACAGGACAACATTATGATGGTTATGTAAAGTTGAGTTATTGGGTTTCACCAACCCAGCTGTTGAGTGGTAATATGTCAGCAACGAGATACTACGGTCCCGAACCTCATCCCATAAGAGATCGTGGCTGCGAACTGATGAGGAGTGCTGAACTAAGGTGATACAGCTATCTAGTGTTTCCAGGTTTTCAAATGATCTGAAATAATGCTGTTTAGCAGGGTGGCTTGCAGTGTGTTCAAGGTTCAACTAGTAAGCACCAAATCATTCACATACTGTGGTTAAACAAAAACTCAGCCGATAAACATTCTTCAGATGAATATACGCTAATAACTACCAAATCATTACAACTTGAGTAAGAAATATGAATCATAATGTTGATTTCGTCATTTTTGTGACAGAAGAGAATCGGTTGTGAACCATGCTACTGAAATCAAGTAAATAAAAGTTATAGAAAATTCAAGGTAAGCATGAGTGCCACTTTACCAAACTACGGTTATCTCTGTAATCTCACCAGTAATCATACCACAGGAGGAATGGTAATCAATAACTACAGCTGGTTCCATATTAAAATTAGGTGTCAAAAAAGTGACCCGTAATATCACCGCAGGGGCTTTACATAACTGCATAACTTTAATATACACTTAATATGGACCAAACGTACAAGATGGAACAAAAAGGCATTAGCTCAAATCATCATCAATCATAACAGCAGAGCAGAAAGAAACTCAATAAAAGCAGAAATACCCTACAGTAAACATTGAGAATAGATAGAGGACAGGATATGATAGGATAGGAAAACAAACAAATAAGTGAGGGGAGATGGAGTGATGAAACGTATAAGATTTGGAGGAAGATGAGCAGACATATATTCTACATCCATGTGATCCATTAACATCGATTCTGCTTATTTTAAATTACTCTACTTGTTGTCTGTGTGGTAGTTTAAATCGATTCCTTTTTGTGCAAGGTTATACGCTGACCTATCTGTTTGCCCCCATTTCATATATCTCGAACCATGTGGTGGGAACAACAGGCAGTATTATACAATATTAGTGATGGATAGTGGTTAGCGGTGGAATCCAAGGAGCGCGTTTCGTCCCATTTGAGACTCGTCAGCTAGATGTACCTGCCTTCCAGCGAGTGATGTCGTTCCCAAAAGCAACAACATTAATTATTATACAATGTTATTCCAAAATAGGAACAAAAATCCCTCACACAACTTTACAAATTTACGTCATCAGGATCTTATAAACTAATGAAATGCATACTTGAAAGCTGTTTTTTTAAAGTGAACATTCTACGATATAATTGAAATAATTCCTGAAACTTACTCTTCTGGCTTGCATAGATCTTCTACAAGCATCTGAGCGTACTCTTCGGATTGGTTCTTTATTATGTTCGTCTAATGAGATTTTAGGAGTAAATTCTACTGAAGAAGACGGTCCAATGTTTGCTAACCAATCAACAAGTTGGTCTTTACCATTCTCCGTCACATTCACGTTCTCTATAGAATTATCATAACTGTCGTTCTAGTGTTTAAAAGTTAATAAGGAAAAAACAGTATTGGTACAGAAAAAGTACCTTTAGTAATCATAAGTAACTTAAAATTCTCATATGTATGAAAATGTTACGGCGGTCAGAAAAGCTTACCTTTAGTGCTTTTGACTGCACTGCTAAACAAAACGATTTCCCATATGACAAGATAACCAATTCATATCATGAGGTCAGAAGAACCAAACTCAGAGATGGCAGCAGTTCATGAAGTCTCTGACTAGGCTACCCAAAATATTAGGAATCATTGGTTTAAGACCCATGGCGACACGGTAAAATAGCGATCACAATGGTACAGATGTATTCACCCACTCTTAACGACTTTACAAATCTTCATTTTTCAAATTCTTTCTTCTCTGCCACACTTTTCCCTACTTTGATTATCACTTTTTCTATCCACTTGTTCTTTGCATGGTTATCATGCTATCGATATATTCAGAAGATTCTGTATCTTGTCAACATCGTCACTAAGAGGACTATATCACCAACACAGTTTAGGTCCATTGAGGAGTTTCCTGTGATAAGGTCGGTCCCAAATATCACTGCTACTCCAAAAATGGCAAAATTTAGCTTTGAATACACAGCCCAACTGCAAAAACCTGGTCTATGAAGTTTAATCAGGCTGGTTAGGTGTAATGAACAAATTCAGCTTTGAGATCATAATAGTAGACATAAGTTAAGATTTATAGGAAGCATGCTAGTTATCAAAATATTTCCAAATGGGCTTCTATGATGAGAAACAGTAGGAATTAGTCTTGGAAGATTACTGGGGACAAGTATTGATAGGAACTTTACGCTCTTCGATCACTTACTGAATGGTAAAAAAACTAAGCCAGTACATTTTTGAATTAGAGAGGGGGGGGGGGAGGTTGTGGGGATTTACAGGTTTTTTTCCAAGTTGGTATTCATCGTGGACTGACATCAGTTGGATAAACATTGGAAACCTGGGAGGACTGGAGAGTTGTTTCGTCCTAACATAGGACTCCTCGGCAGTGCGCACCCACGACCCCATCCCATCAGGGATCGAAACCACGACCTTCAGATTCCGTGGCCATTACGTTACCATATTCAATTGAACAAGTTCTCAGTGGTGACTAGCTTCGAAAAGTGATTCCCGAAATCCCAGTGAGAAGTCATGACCAGTGGGGCAAACCTGGTGGCTATGAGGACAAATACCCAACGATGACATTAGGTGAAGGTCACGCTATATCGTGAACTGACAGAAGTTAGAAATATGGACCATTGGATTCTGACCCAGTGTCTCAATGATAACGTGCTGGACGCAGAACCTGAGGGTCACGGGTGAGCACTGTTGAGGAGTCCTATTCTAGGACGAAACAGCTGTCCAGTGCTCCCAGGTTTCCAATGTTTATCCAACTGATGTCAGTCCGCGATGAATACCGGTGTATTTTTGTTCACAAATGAAATGATTGGAAGATAAGTGAACACTCATCAGAAAAGTGAGTCAGTCCATCTTGTCACGTTGAATATTCTCTATGCAAAAAAGATGAACCAAATACACTTTGAGTGTACTGATGTAAAGATCTACTTTACTATTTGATAAAGGATATTTCATATAAAACAAGAAATTCCCCTTGAATATTAGAGGATTTCATAGCATGAAAAAATCACACCTTACATAATACTGACTAATCTGTTAAGATGTTCCATAATGCATTATAGTAATATTAATGAATGAAATGCAGTGAGCAACCTTGTGCACAGCCAGGTAGTAGGAAATGGGTCACACCTATTGTATGAGGGGCAATGATACCACTTGGGTGCACCCAAACCATGGTAGGCGGAGTGGTGTTGTAATCTATGGCCCACTTGTTGAAAGGCGACTCACTAAACCAATGAACTATAGCCCCACTTATAGTAATCTCACTTTAAACATATACATTATGTATGTATGCAACTACAGTATAAAAAATTGGTACTATGAAAAGGTTGAGTGAACAATTAGGGCATAAATAAAGGATGAAGAACAACTTCCAACTACAGCTTACCATAAAAAGTCGCTTGCTTTTAATTATATTGATATTGAAAGATAACCAAGTGCTATCTTCTGCATAAAAAGCGCTAAAGAAAAAATAGAAGGAAAGTACGCTATTGAGAACTGAGTAATCCGAAGTAGTATGAACACAACTAAATGTAAATTTATTAAAGTAGTATTCACCACGAACTGATATTACTTGGAGAACCGCTGAAAACCTAGGAACACTGGACAGCTGTTTCATCTTTCTGCAGGACCCCTAAATAGTATGCGCCCACGACCCTACCAGAGATTGAACTCTGGCCCCCAAGTATCATGGCGAAACCATTAACCATTCAGCAACTAGGTCGTAGTCCAGTGGTCCATAATTTATTACTCTGTCACGATATAGAGCGACTATCCATAAAGCTCTTCAGTTAGCATCCGCTTCATTTTTGACTGGTTGATCTCACAGGTCACAGCTTCTCATTAGAACTTCAAGAATATCCATCTCGAGGCACTATACAGTATTGTAGCTTGAGGTTTATGAAGATTTTACTTTTTTTTCTGATGTATGAGCAGCAGGGTTGACCAGTTAAAAGTGAAGCGGATGCCAACTGAAGACCTTTATGGACAGTCGCTCTACATCACCAATTGACAGAAGTTTGAACTCTAGATCAGAGGCTAAATGGTCAGAGTTCGACATGAGACCTGAAAACCCTGAGTTCAATCCGTGGCGGTGTAGTGGGTGCGTAAATGCCAAGGAGTCTCGTAATGGGACGAAACAGATGTCCACTCTTCCCAGGTTTTCGATGGTTCTCCAGCTGACGTCAGTCCATGATGAATACTACCATAAAAAGGTTCATTGAACCACGACTCCAGTATATACACTTAAATCTCGATCAACGGACTGCAAGAGCTAATCTTTGTTGTCATTAACGACAACCTAGAAAACAAACACGTATGATATTACTGAATTCCATATACACCAAGCATATATGATCAAACCATACGTTAACATGTGAAGTGAATGCTTAATTTCTGCTGGTATATTTCATCAGTTAGTAGACTTCTGCACATTGAAAGCGTAGAAGTAAACACTGTTAAGAGCTTAAATTAATACCGATCTTTGCTGGTTTAATAAAAAATTTACAATAGTGTGTCAGTCATTATGGTAAGGATATATTTGTAACAAATTCATAGACAGACACTTCTATGGGTTAGTTAAACACTCAAAACTTAATATCGAGTTATTACTGATGCATATTAGACGAATTCAAAATGGGCCTTGTAGAGAGATAGCATGAAAGTCTGTTTATCGTGGCAACTTTGGCTGACCAAACGACATTCAGCTTTCGAAATGATAACAGAGTTATCAATGCTTCTAGATTCCACCTTCATTGTCGGTCGTAAACAGTCGATGATGGGACAGTTTCTGCTCTTGCGGTTCAGTAAAATATATTAAATAAAACAACTATGTTTGACGTAGACCAAATCAAAACCACGTTACCAATGTTTCTTGTTCAACTATGTACTCATATAACAACAGATTATTATACGACAAACAAGAATTTATTCAACTGGGGCACAGTACTATCGGAACTAAGTAAATGCTTGCCCATATACACCTACCTACGGTGTTTACCGAATCCTATTCACATTCATAACGCTCTAAGGTGTGCAATACAGATCATCATTATTATGGACAATATAGCCTAACAGTACAAGTTGCCACACCTCATATCAACACATCAACTAACTAAGCAATAAAATGAAAGATGAAGAAATGAACAAGAATAGGTTACAAGCAGTAAGAGTGAGATGAAGATAACGTGTGGATACATCTACGCCAATGACGTCAATTCTCAGCCATATCACCTACAATTCACTTACCACCACTTCCTGCTGTCATGTGGACTCCAATCGAATGGTCTGTATCTCTCTACATGGATAAGATCAAAAGTTAGTAACTTCATGCGTTGATGTCATGTTTCAGTCTGGCCGTTCTGTGAACTCAAATCGTTATCGAACTGGAAACAATTGATGATGACTGAGAAACATAAAAAAGAATGGAAGGTGCACAATGATCTGGAGGAACTTGAAGGCTGACAGGGTTGATGGTAGCTGCCCACAAGGCTAGATCTTTCACAGGAACCTGAAAGGTAAGGGTTGGCGTGTGACCAGACTCCAACGGAAACTCCGCTTGAACCTAGTAACATACAGCCTTTTTGAAAGTTTGAGATTCAAGTTCGTTTCTTTCGAATCCAACTATGAACTCACATCGCCGGGACCAGAAGACCCCACCCCCATGCAGGAGTGTGTGCTATTTTCAGAGTCAACTTTTCCTAGTACTCCCTTCCTGTGGGGAAGGTAGCACCAGTATGGTATTGGTGTATATCAATGGGAAACGCCCTGCTGATGTCACAGTCCAAACAGCCAGCAGTAAGATTTCGTCTACAGATCCCAATCGCAGTGTAATAATTGATACTAAAACGATAACTGCTTGTCATCCAACATGCCTTTCTGGTATGGTAGGACCTCGAAAGAAAAAGTGTTCCACCAGTATAGTTCATTGAGTTATTGTGATATGCAAGCCTGACGACCACTTCAAGGTAGCAGCTGTTGGTCGGGAATGCATGTATCAAAGTAATAAACAAGGTACTCACTTTTGCTTGGATTTTTGGAACTTAAATTGGACTGGGACATTTAGTTGTTTGCACAAGATGGTTAAAATGGAATCGCTTTGCACAAAAATGATCTTCAACAAAGGAGAGACTGTAAATAGTCAGGAGAGAGTTAAGTGTGGCTTCTCTTGGGAAGTTAACATAATGCATACTAATACATGATAGATAAGCAGCGAAGAACTTAGTTACGTATAACTGGACCCAATACTTGATCTATTCTCAAGACCAATTTTTCGAAGAACTAAAGTAAAAAGGAAAATCCCAACGTGAAAAGTCATGCATACAATCGTCTTGTAAATTGGTGGTCGAACCGATTGCATTTGAACTAACAGCACTAACCTATATCAAAGTGAGCGAAGATGGTTTAAGCATGTAATCAAGTAATAAGGATCTACTGAAGTTTTACTTCAATTTATGGTTCAGCTTCAAGTTCCAAGCCAGTCCTTCTCTTTACAGACGTTACTTACCGAACTTCGTGGATCGGCCCCCAAGTCGAACAGAAAACAACCAAGCAGCACATTTACATGCAAACGAACACTCCAGATAGAGCATTCTGTTAACACCCACTCAAAATGAACAGTGTTACCCCAGAACCCTCCCAACTATCAGGCTTTAATGTTTCCACATTCACCAGATAATCGCTTTGTTGGTCATACTCACCTTCCCGGAGAGACCTCCGCCTCTGCGCTACCAATACCACCAAGGATAGGGCTGACGACACAGGAGTTCAGGACCGAATATCACTCGTCTTTGGTGAGGTGACATTACATCCATTTCAGTGGATCGTCTCAAGACGTGACCAAAGGAAACAGGAGTTTGGATTCACCTTACCTTTCGGTTGCACTGCTCTCAGTACACTGGACGGAATCACGACAGCTAGCTAAACCATCTTTACTTTGGAGACCTATGTCACTGACCTTGTACATATAGGTTTCGTCGACGGCAATTACCAATAAGTAAACTTGATGGTGTATTGGTTGACACCCAGAAGGGCCACGAGAAGGCTTATCGCACGCGTAACTGGGCTCAACTCGGAATCCCCCAATACATAGACTATTTCCAGTTTTCACGAGCCAGCAGCACAAATCCAGAATCACTTGACTGCGCCATGCAGAGCTTTTACACATTGACGCCTTGGCACGCAACTATGCAGCCGGCCTATGCTGACTTCTTACGAGAGTCACAGTTGCATATATTCAGGTAGGCAAAGTTGCTTTAATCACATAATCCAGTAACATATCCAACTAAAGAGATAACCATACAGTGACACCATAAACCATACACAGAAGACACTCGATTAGGCTTTTTGCATAACTGCTGTGCAGTAGTGAATAACAGACTAGTTCCACGTTATTTGGTTTATTAGATATATCATATAGTAGAATAGTATTATTTACTGGATAACGTTTCGGACACAATTTATTGTCCATAGTCATCTCAAGTAGCATAGTATTAGTCTGGTATAGTATTATATTATATCCAATGTAATACAGTAAATCTCTCAAAAATATAACAACTCATTGTGCAAACAAATCATTTTCAACATCAAACACTGATAACAAAAACAACAACAACAACAACAGAGAAAAGGAATGATAAATAACATTCGAACTAGAAATGAAAACAAATATTTTAAAAGACAAAACAAATTATTTCTTTATTTCTAGGATAAAAGAAATAAAATATCGGGAATAAAAACTATACACAATCAACGACAATTGGAACAAAACAAGGATTGGGAAGGTGAAAAGAGTCATAAATACAAAAAATACGTGCATAATAAGAAATATATTTTATCCTGCAACACTTAGTCAGTATACATGGATGCATAAAATATATAAATACAAACATATCCCCCCTCGCTCCAAACACACAGAAGTAGAGAGGTAATATGATTATGATTATAAAGTGAGGAAAATAAGTGTTTAATCCGAAAGAATATCATAGCATAAAGCATTAAATCATGTACACCTTGTACCCAAAAGGTGAAGTGTCAATCTTCGCATTCACCATAATAACAATAATGGGTACAATATAGGTATGCAAAATATCGCCAAACAGGTATAAAATCAGAAACCTTAATATAACAGATCATCATACAGTAGGAGAATGAGTTGGTATTGTTAAAAAGAAGTGAACTGAAACCAAATAATGCATAAAAATAGATAAACTAATGAAGAGAAGACAAGTGAATATGTACAAGTAAGAAAGTAAAGTAACAAGCATTACTGTACAAGGAAATGCAGACATCGTTCCTTAGTTTAATCTGGAATATATGTACAAATATATACTTAGTTTTCCATGAGTACTATTGTTTACATGTTGTCAACGCATAGCTTAGCCAGCTACTCACCGCTGTCCGTATCGACAAGCCAGGAATCAAGTGTTGATACACGCATATGTTTAGCTTTATTACGTTTTTGGTGACTTGATTTTGTTTATCACTTGGTATGTTGGGGGTATTGTTATATGCATTGGCATAGGATTCAAGATGTCGCATTTCAAAGGAGGGTAATCCTTGAGAAATGAAGATATCCGAAAAACTGTCCACACTTTCCAAATATAATTGCTAAAAAGTGATAAAGTAGATTGAATGAAATCGGATCAGTGCATTGAACAAAATATGTTATCATTAAAACAGCAAAAATGACACAGGACTGGGAGTCAGTCAATACAAGCAGTCTGATGACAGACATACCAAAATAGAACCGTGTACAAAACTGTATTTAGTAAAGAAAATACAACTGAAATGTTAACCCATTGATCATACAACTAGTAAAAGAGATGGCTTTGAACACTATTTTCAACTCGAAGAAACATAATCGACGAGAAGAATGAAGTAACTATTCACTAATACAAACAACTTCAGTTCTCAGAATGACTGCAGCATAAAATGAATTTGCCGGTTAAATAAAAGGTGGATTACAACATTAACGATTAAAAACATACCTTTTCATTGGACAAATGCAAGAGGCAATTTAAGGCGATTGAAACACTGAGTTCCTTAGCCATTCGCCAACTTATGCGGCTTGATAAACTATCGATAACTTCTGACAAACTTTTAGCACCAGAGACCTTAGGCAAACATGAAGTTTTCCCACCGTCTGATACAGTGATGCATTCATTCATTGGTTGTTGCTGTTGGCTTTCGTGTAATCTGGGCGAACATGCAGCATCATCTGTTAAGCTAACTCCATCAGGAGCTGAAGTCGTAGAAGCTACAGATGATGGAGAAAGAGATGGGACATTCGTGTTAACATGAGGAACAGTATTTTCAAGGAATCCCCACATAGCAAACTTCAAGCGTTGGATATTTATCATTTTTGCAGTTCGAGCATAACCAATTTCAATGCGAGCTACTTTATTCGGTTGTGAAATTAACTCGAAGCCATCAACTTCACCGTCATTGTTAGCAGTATTCTGTTTTTTGATAAATCAAATGGTAAAAAAAAAGTAATGTTTGTTTGACCGATACACTTAATAGAAAAAAAATACTTTTGTACCGAGTATTTGAAACGATTTTAAAGGAATTTTTGGAATGCTCGGGGTTCTGCTGTTGGGATAGTATCTATTGACTATGTAACAAAATTAACGATGTTGAAGATCTGGTTCACTATGGAACTGGGTGAAGACATGATTTGGGGACGATCGTGAGATTTGAGAGTATAAACCAACTGAGAACCTCAGTAGTGATCGTAATTGGTAGCGCATGGGCGAGAAAAAAGACCGTTAGTATTATCGGTTCAGAATGGTTACAAGTGTATGAAAACTGTAAGCCTGAGCAGACTCAGTGTGCTGGGTTGGGTCATATAAAGTGTGAGTCTATATGATGATGAACTGCAGTAGGATGAGGCGAAAGCTGTAATGCAAGGGTCATCAGTGTGATCACTCGAAACATGTAGAAACTATTTTGTAAAATGGCAGAAGGAAACCAAAGAAGTACTTAGTCAAGGTTTCATAGCACTTACATCCAATACATGCCTAGAACTTCGAGGAAAGCTATGCTGTATAACTGAGTTGAAATCAACCATTCGGAGAGCTGATTGTATGATTGGTTTTTTGAAGTTACCCTTTTTTTATACAGGCTACGAATAGATAGTAGGTAAAACCTGGAGGATCATACAGTTATGGAAATATAATGGATATAGTGGAAACAATCAATGAAATATATAGATAAACTGTTTATGTTAAATAAATTCTTCAGGATAACTAACCTGTGTAAAGCTACATTCGAAAGGCATTAGTATATCATCATCGTCATCATCATCTTGATGGTTGTCCAAATGATCATCTGCCCCATCATTTACATCATCATCGTATACATTTAAAGGTCTATCTGTACCACCAACTGATAACACTGCACATAAATCAGAATTCCCATTCATATTGTTGTTAACTTCACCCTAAAAGTAAGATAAAGGGAAGTGCGTTGATTATTTTAGCTCATATTTCAAACGAAAACAAGGTAGTAGAACCAGAAAAAGACGCCATATAGATGATTTAGTGTCTAAAATCGATAAGCAGTCAAAATAATCTCACTTCCATTTAGAAAGATAGGTAAAGTTTTTGTATTGACCATACTACTTTGCTTATGTAAACTGAAACCAGTAGAATGGGGGTTCCATGTAGTCCCTCAGCTGCTAACAAGTAAAAGGTTAGACTATCAAGCTACAGTACTTCATTTCCCGTTAAAGTCGGACATAACAAGTGAATATGACTCCAACTTACCGGCTTTCTAGAATTACAGAGATTAGAACGCAAGATCACATCTCGATGGATAAGTTGATACAAAGTATGGCGTGTATCAGAACATTCTGAGGCGAGCATATTCATTTCACGATTCACTTTTGTCGATATGATTCTTTAAATACAGTCGCGTTGGGAGTAGCACTGTTCTGCACACCAGCTAAACCATTATTGGACCAATCCTGACGACACAATCGTCCACTCCTGTGATAAATAAAAAATCATGAGAAGAATGAGGTGAATGGAATATAATAAGATTAAGAAAGAACACTTTAAGTCAACAAGCGATTATTGACCTGGATACAATTATATACTAAGGAAAACTGGGAATAAACTATCCAGAAATAACAGATACTCAACGGTAAAACATCACCAGTGTCTCATAAACTCGAGCTAGAAAAAAGTTACGGGATGATCTGTAGTACCAAAATACGTCCCGAAAAGTCGACACCGTTTGCAAAGCTAATAGTGATAAGAAACAGCTACTAATTGCAACCTAAAAATATACGGAATCCTCTTCGAAAGTTTGAATTATAGTTTAAAAAGTACCTTTTGCGTTATACTGATTTTGGTGACTAGCAGAGGAATCCAGGGAGTGCGTTTCATCATGTTTAAGACTTTTCAGCTGGATATACCTGCACTCCAGTGCGGAGTGATGTTGTTCCCACCGAGGCTCGAACCCAGTACCCTTCGCTTCAAACGCCACTGGGGCACGATAGCACCTCTTGTGCAACGAGCGTCAGATGTTGCAATGGTACTTGTAATTTCCCGTTGCTATAAAAGGCCAAATTCAACGACCTTCTTGGGTTTTTTCACCAAGTTCTACAGCTATACAACCATACTGCTCACTCAAAATGTATCTGTTTTGCTTTGCAATATATATATATGAACGATACAATGCACGGATGCGATACGATTAAATATAGAACATTGACTTTTCAACACGATACTGAGCTGACGAGAGAAGCAGAAGACAATGGAATTGAAAGTACATTTACTTCAACTGAGTAGTGCGATTATGGCAGAAGGTCAAGACGTTTACATACCTTTCTAAGGGCCTTGAACAAGGAAAACAAAATAGTCTAGGACGAATAAATCAGTGTTTACTATTCTAGCCCGCAATGAAAATGACATTGCGTGGAGCGAAAAAGGCGAGAAAATGAGCTTTGAATTTTACAATGAAAAACTATACACTACAAATCAGTATTTTAGAAACCAGATATTTATAACGGTATAATAATCATAAATATCTACATAGGAGTAGGTAATACTGTTTAACGGTACAAGTTGCCACACCTCATATCAACACATCAACTAACTAAGCAATAAAATGAAAGATGAAGAAATGAACAAGAATAGGTTACAAGCAGTAAGAGTGAGATGAAGATAACGTGTGGATACATCTACGCCAATGACGTCAATTCTCAGCCATATCACCTACAATTCACTTACCACCACTTCCTGCTGTCATGTGGACTCCAATCAAATGGTCTGTATCTCTCTCTACATGGATAAGATCAAAAGTCAATGACTTCATACACTGGTATCATGTTCTAGACTAACTGCCACTCACATTTTTCAGCCTGAATGAAATTCAATTTTCACCGTATGATGAGGCAGATACTGACACATACGTAACACACGTCCCAGACACCTCAATCGATGAAGGTTAACCACTTCATCAACTGATTTTCATTGCCTACGTAGATTTCTGCCTCTGACTTCAGCGTTACTGATGTGATGACACTGTATGGGGCGACCTATGCAACGAAGGTAACAACTGTTGAATACCTGTGCATTCTACTATTATAGCTATGTTTAACAACCATATAACAGGACAAAGTGTTTGTGTATGCCATGTCATGAGTTTTTCATGAAAACTGAATTGTCCGAGAATTCCCTAAAAGGCGTCTAATTTTAGACACTGACTGACAAAATCAACGTGGAACCTCATACACAACTGCTTCGCCTCAACTTACCACACTTCTCAGTAGTACAAAACGTGATATCAAAGCATATAAGGTAGTATGAGACAATAAGCAGTTCGAATATAAAGGTTAGTGAGAATATTCAAGCTTTGGAAGACGTAAAGAAGTAAACATATCTACTGTGACTGTGACCGATTTTCAGCCATGTCACCAACAGTCCTCAACTACTGATTCTTTTCATCTCAGAGACTCCAACCAGATAGTCTACATCTCTCCACACACGACTCAAACCAACAGTAAAAGACTTCAACTGGTATCACGTCTTCGTTTAGCCACCCTGAACTCTTCCAACCTAATTCAACTTCCTCTAGCATAGCACGTCAACAAAGGCGGTGGCTTGGCATGCGAATTACATGTCCACACAATCTCAGTCGACTAAGGTTCACAAAATCACCAATCCACTTACCTATCTTGCCTAATACCATTCGCCTGACCTCAATATTCCTCACACAGTGATTCCATCAAACGTGAGCAATCCTACGAAGACACCTGTCATCAAACACTACAACCACTTCATGTCTCCTATCTTTACCGACCACGTCTCACAGCCGAACAATCAGACAAAACGGACAACAGTGTAGTGTAGTGTAGTATACTCGTGGTTTGATAGGTAGTCGAATCTCTCACCAGTTGATGCCACAGATGAAGTAAGTAGGCGAATGCGAAATGTGTCTTGTGTGACCGAGCTGAGATTTCGTCATTAACCAGTCAGTTTGTTGTACTCATGTTGCTTGCCGAGTAAGTGAAGTGGTTGACACATCTCACCACTTCACTGCCTATCATTAGACTGTGAGTGTTTGAGGCAGATGCCTTGGAGTATCCTCTTACAATTGACAATTGCGAAACGTATGCCAACATTCTCCGATTTCTGTTCAACGCGTTCAGCATAGCCTACATTTTGTCACTGTCTTCATCTAGTAGGATGAAATATTATTATTGGGATTCAGTTCAAAATAATTAACTATGCAGATGATATGACTTATGTAAAACTAGATTGACAAATTTGAATATCTCAGAGTTGCCATTTAAATTGAATGATCACGAATTGAATTTGGATGTGTGTGGGGATTTAGTGATTTTTCGATTTGATATTCATCATGGACTGACATCAGTTGGAGGAACATCAGAAAAACCTAGGAGCAGTGGACATTTGTTTAGCCCTGGTATGGGAGTCCTCAGCAGTCCGCACTCATGACCCCACCTCGTCAGCGGTCGAATCCAGGACCTCCATGTTTCGTGGCAAGCACGTCACTAACTTCTGTCAGTTTATGACCAACCTGGCAGAGCCATGGGTGCGCACTGCTGAGGAGCCCCATACTAGGATGAAACAGCTGTCAAGGTTTCCGATCTTCCTCCAATTGATGTCAATCCATGATGAATATCAACTTGGTAAATGATTATGAATAAAATGAGTTTTATGGTGCTGAACGACGATGACTCACGTACAGAACTAATTGTGTTCATTTTGACAATGACATATTTGGGAATTAAGAGAGATGAAATGAAATGTAACAGTGTGCTTCGTTTGTCTAAATGTCGAATAGGATGAATAACGGTAGGTCTAGGTAAAATCAAAATGGGCTGATTTGTATGAATATGTAGGGAGCAAATGAACGAATCTGACAAAAGATTATGTGGTGTGAAGGGACATGTACAAGTGGTTACAAAGTTTACAGGTGGAACAGCTTCTGCACTATCACACTTAAGAGCTTGTCGATTGCAAAGTTGATCAAGGCAGTAATGATGAGTGGTTGCTTTTTTTTGGTGAATCAATATTCAGATTATCTAAGACGAATGGCTACAGCTTCTGCTGATTGGAAGATTCAGTGTATGGTAGCTTTAGGCACGTTGATGAAGATACAGTAAATGATAGGAAAGGATTAATTATTATTACTCTTATGTAATCGACTAACAGCTTTAATGTACATAGAATGATTAGAGGCAAAAATATGAATAATTATCAACTTCTAAATTTATATATATATATATATATATATATATATATATATATATATATAAAGATCGCACTATTTCGCAACTGTGATAAAGAATCCAATTTCGAAATAAATGTTAAAAGTAATGAGTTTACCTTGTTCGATTCTCGCCTGATTTGTGTGCTTCTGCATAAGAAACTTTTTGACCTTTATCTTTTTTGGATTTTTTAATTTTACGATTTCCCACAGTTTTAACAATTTCTATCTCATCTCCATCCACTGCATGTCCTAAGTCCACTTCATGATTGTCTAAATTAAAATATTTTTATGTAAACAAAGAATTCATATTAGGATAAATTACTTACACAGTTAGCTATAATACTACGTGAAACTTCATAAGATTATATGCTGGGTGATGATGATTGAAAGTGAAATGGAAATTTGGACCGTAGCCGGATTCGAACCAGCGACCACCGGGTTTCCCGCCCGATGCTCTATCAACTGACCAACCAGGTCCAACTGCTGATTATATTTTTATTTCACTTCAATCACTGATTAGGCAGGCAACGTGAATACGATCAAGCGGTAGTAACACATCACGAATTCACATGGTAGTCGAACAAAACAGTTAGTGTGACTGAAGTCAAATAAAAATGTGATCAGTAAACAGACCTCCTAGCTCAGTTGGTAAAGCGTCGGACCGGAGACCCGGTGGTCGCTGGTTTAAATCCAGCTGCAGTCTAAATTTTCATTTCGCCTTCAATCATCACCTAGTATAAATACTAGTTCATCAAACTGCGAGTATCTCACATAGTCAAATGATAATTTAGAAGATTAGTTAAATCAGCTTTATGACACTGATTCCCTTAAGTGTCAAATTGACAGAAGCTAACGCACTGAACTCAAGATTTTAGCTACTTTTGTTTTGCAGGAGTATTCAAAACCTGTTATACGAAAGGGCAATTTTAATTTCAGACTTTATCAGTACAGTGTTAAACAATACCAACTGTATCGTTTTCAAGATTTTTGACAAGTACAATCGGGAATTTATCTATAAAATACAGAATACATTTACTGTTTTACAGTTTCGAAAATGTTTGCACTAATCAAAAGCATAGTTTTTCTACAAATATGACTCATGTGAAAAACACATTATGCTTAAACAGCAGTTGGAAATATGCAGAGAGGATAAAATAAAAACATAAAGTGAAAATCGAAGCGGGATAAAGTCACTTTTTACATCTCAGTATGACTTCGATACCGCATAAAACTGTTTAGCTGAATTCTACAACGTTTTTGCTAAATACCTCAGAATCGGATGTCGGAAACGAAAGTGAATATTAAGAGATATATATAAAAGGACAGTAGGTGCTGAAAACTGATATGAATTCACAGAAATGGGAAGGTATTAAAATACACAAAGGTAAGAATGATGAAGCAATGAGATATTTCAGGTGAATACATATGCACAAAATTTCCGTTAAAAGCTTTACATTTGGATTGGCCTGACTCTTTTCGTCTTCATTTTTTCTGTAAAAGAAGGGAACGGTGAGCAAGACGACTTAATTAAAAACTCCATTTATTATTTTTCCCTTGGGTTCCCAGTGGAACACAGGGCTTCAATAACACGTCGCCATTTCACTCTCTACTCTGCAATCTTTTCAACTTGGCTCCACGACCTTCATAACCTTTCATTTCTTCCTCACACCATCTCCTCTATGTCACCCTTACCTCGGACACCCAACTTTTCGCTTCCCCTGTGGATTCTACTCGACGGCCTGACCTAACGCATGATGTCCCCAAACAGTCTTCTTAGTGTATGTCCAATCCAATCCATCTCCATTTTCTTCTTCTGCAAATTTCTTGGGCGATAGGTTCTTGGTTGGTTCGTTGGCAGGTGAGAGTGAGTCCTCCTTCCTTATTCTTTCTGGTCACCTGATCTCCATCTTCAGCACCGAGCAAGCGTAGGCGGTAGCTGTTAGTGTATATTTGCAGTTTGTCGGGAGTGCCTTTCGTAACGCGCCAAGTCTCTCAGCCATCACATAGAAGCACTGACTTACTTGACTGACTTGAAAATCTGGATGTTGTTCCCGCTTCATGCTGAGTTTACTGCAGTGCAGTAGATCTCCACACTGATTTCAGATTAGTGAAGGGCTGCCTTGGTGTCTTTCCGATCCCGGCTTTCACATCCTCATCTGTGCCGCCGCCGCCATCTGTAGTTGAAACGATGCTGCCCAGGTGGGTAGGTAGGTAGGTAGATAGATGAAAGAGACAACCTCCTTTCGATTTCTCCCGTTCATGGTGATTGGTGCTTGTTATTGGTGTTGCCGTTGTTGTTGCTCGTTGCGTATCTTCATCACCTGCGTCTTCTCTACGTACGTTCACCTGAGGGAAGTCCCGTCTTCGTTGGCTTCCTCGTCTCTTCTATCACCTTGTTAGTTTTTGTCTGTAGATCTTCGAGTTTGTGCGACATAAGACAGATATAAATAGTCATCATGGGTGAATTCCGGATGCTCTATGGTCTTTTCATCTATCAAACAGCTTATGTCCATCTTCTCACAGATCCTGACAGTTTGTTGCATGATCCAGTTCAGTCCAGTGAAGTCGACCACGATTAGGAGGACCAGTGATGATAGTAAGCGGCAACCTTGTCTTACTTCTTCCTGTCTTCACTTCAAAGGCATCACTGAGCTTTCCATTGTGGAGCAATTAACAACTCCAAGACTCCTATTATTACAATTATTATTATTATGAGGACCAAACATTCTTCAAAATGACATGCAATGAAACCCAAGTTAAAACACTTTAGCACTGGGAATGTAGGCGAGTGAAGTATTAACGTGAATTCTGTGGAGTTATACAGAAGATCCACTTTGGATACTTAGTAAAACGTTTTTCACTGAGAAAGTAAGCTCAGGTAGCACTAATAGCATGAAAGTCTGAGGATACAGTACGTTCACAGTAGCTGGCATGTATAGTATAATTATGCACTAAAATATAATTTTAATGTAGAAGAAAAAAGTATCTTTTAAAGAAATGTATACCTTAAAAAAATTGTGCACATAAAGCAAGCAAAACAGTAAAACGAACCTTCTTTTGATTTAACCCCAATGTCCAGTCTTGGTCTTTTGGCTTTTTTACGCCAATGCTCAGGTCCTGCCCACATACCCAATAGATGATCGTTTAACTTTCCAAAGTGTTCAAACTGTTTATCTAACATACTTTTTAAAGAAGCTACAAACAATTCACTGTCTGGTGTAGTAGTAATAGTTGTTGTTGTTGTACTAAGTAAACATAAAAACAAAGAAATATGATAAAATTTATGATTTGGTGATATATATGTAGGAAAAAGTTATCGCAGCAATAGATTTCGATGTTTAAGTACTATTAGTGTTAGTTCAATTAAGATGAATAGAGATATTATAATCCACCTACATCATAACAGCTTGTTTAACATTTATGCACCAGACTGTGGTTTTACCAAATGTGTTACAAGGTAATTAAACTGTCGTCTTGCACGAGAGAAAGTGCTTGTAAAACTACTGCAGGCGCAGCCTAATTTTAAGTAAAAGTGATTGAGTGACTAAAACACTTGAACCATGAAAATAAGTATTACATCAATAATAAAATAAATACGAAAAATAACACAATTTATACACTTATAAGTTGGTATTCATCATGGACTGACATCTGTTAGATTCCTGGCGCGATCATGAGTGCACACTGCTGAAGAGTCCCATATTAGGACAAAATAGCTGTCCAGTGCTCTCAGGTTTCCAGTGTTCCTCCAACTGATGTCAGTTTATGATGAACACCAACCTGAAAAACCACTAAATCAAATTGACCTAGTGCTCATTGGTTACTGACTAACTTTGAGAGGTGACTCATAAGGTTCCAATTGGAAGTTGTGACCAGTGGGGCAAATATGATGGTCATGAGGACAAATACTCAAAGATGACATTGGGTGATGGTCACACTATGTAGTGAAGTGACAGAAGTTGGAGATACGGATCATTTGATTCCTACCCAGTGGCGCAATGGTAACATGCTGGCCACGGAACCTGAAGGTACTGGTTCGATCCCTAGCGGGGTGGGCTGAACCATGGGTGCGCACAGTTGAAGAACCCCATACTGGGACGAAACAGATGTCCGGTGCTCTCAGGCTTCGAATGTTTCTTCAACTGATATCAGTCCATGATGAATACCAACTTGAAAAATCACTAAGTCCCCACAAACCCCAAATTAAATGCTTATAAACAATTATGGTCATGAAGATCTTAGTATTCTTAGTATCATATAGGCTCCTCAAAATCTCTGAAGGCAAATCGATTCACGATGAATAAAGCTCAATGGCGTAGGTTGAATAATGATGACAGCATTTCAAAAAATGGTAAATAAAGCACAGAACGAATTTTCAGGAACAGTAGAAATGAAGACTCAAAAAGTATACCATTTCGTAAACGATTGAAAGACATTCAACTATATAACCCAATAGTGTAAGTCTCAAATAAGTATATCCTTTAACTAGAGGCCAAGGAATGTACCTAAGAAGTAATTCAGCAACCCTTTACCACTTTGTGTAAACGCTTATGAACCAGACTAGAGGTATGACGGTGAATGGTACTCAGTTTTTCAGAATGACGAGGTTGTAAGCAGTTTATATTGATGACTCGATTAATGATCGAACAAGACCACTGTTTACATCTCCGATTTATAAAAAAGTTTAAGATAATGATACTACGAACCCAATTGCAACACACTTTAAAAAAAGACCATCTATAATTGTGTACTACAAAGTTCGTTCGAAAATTAGTTGATCATTCAATTCACTTAATGTACTACATCACATAAATGAAATGGCTTACTTTACTGAGATATAAACCTTCTACAAATAATAAGTAACAGCATAAAAACTATACCCGGCGCACAAGAAGTGGCTATCGTGACTCAGTGGCCTAATGAATAACGCAATGAAGTTTGAAGCGACTGGTCTCGGGGGTTTAGGTCTTAGTAGGAATAACATCACTCACTGGCGAGTCCTAGATGAGACGAGAAGCTCGTCTTGGATTCCACTGCTAGCCACTATCCATCGTTAATATAAAATAACAAGTATACATATATAATAAACAAAGGAATGAAAGGCTCAAATTACTTTTCGTTGGTGGGAACATCAGTCATCACAGCATTTTGTTCAATTTTACTGTCTACGGCTTTTGGTGATAAGCCATCCACTTCAACTTGCGTGTCTTTCTCGAATACTGGTTCTAAGTTAACATCTGTAGTAGAACATGAATATAAAACAGAGATTAGGTTGTAAAAACCTGTAAATAGTGAGGAGGTTTCGCAAGTTATCCAAAGTTTGATAGGGTTATCCTTCAAAGTGCGGTGATACATATTTCAGTAATGTTCTAGTCACTATTCACAATCAAACTTTTCCCAAGAATTTACAGTGAATACAACATCAAGAAATATGGTAATAAATCCATAATAAAGCAGCACAGTGATGACTAGTAAATAACATTTTTCGTAGCTCACATTTGAACATTGGTGGTTGTATTAGATCTAACAGTGGCTATCTTCGGAGGTGACTAAGCAGAGTGATGTTCACCAGGGACGTTCACCTTTATTTGTTTGACTTATCATTCATAGACTTCTGTGAATTTCGTGTTAGGCTTACAGCACACAGATATTATTGTTCTGTTATATGAAGACACTGAAAAAGACAGTCTTTTGAACATCTTACGAAACAATGTAAAGATGTCAGGTATGCGTCCCTCACCACAAAATGGTAAATATTGGTTCCAAAATGGTTCCCATTTATGCCCTGATTGAAAGCAAGTAACGAAATGGTTCAGAACATTAAATGCTTTAACAACTTAAGCATGCTGGTGGTACGAACAAAAACTCTGGAATACCTTTTTGCAAACCCATATTGTCTGTTATGTCGAAGTGATACCAGAATATTTATTGTCAAGAGCCTAGCGTCTAACTTCATCCCATTGTATGTCACTGAAACAAGGAGCTCCACGACCTCTTAACTACAATCTCAGTGACATCAGTCTTGTTCTGTATTACATCAAGGAATGAAGCGAAATTTGAAAAAAATCCAGTTCAAAGTGTATTTCAAGTGACACTGACTGAAATTAGTCTGAATCGTTAAAAAAGTAAACAATAAAGGTAGTCATCATTTCGATGACACGTCTGAAACGTACCCTCATGTATCGTGTTATCATCAAGACTATCATCCTGGGATGGAAGAGGGTCAAATCCGTTGTCATCGTCATTAATCTCCAGATTAAGTGGATCAACTTGCTGAATAGTTGTATCCAAATTAATTTGATCACTTAACTATGAAGTTAAAACAGAATTTTTTTAAGGTACTTTAACAAATGCATTTGTTTACAACTCACATTACTAAGTTAATTACTCTCTGTAATACAGACAGTGCAAAAAAAAGAATGTATAACAAGTGGCAATAGGTTTTAATAGTTATATAAATGCCGCTCACCACAAATGTTCGTTACGCCAATACTGCCTTCAATTCAGAATGGCTCAAGACTAAAAATTCATGTAACTAATCCTATGAAAAGCTATCAACCATAAAAAGCAAAACGTTCAGACGTAGTCATAACGGTAAGTAACTTTAACACTCAAGTATGGAAGCTGAAACACTCGGAAAGGCACCTTCTACGTATTTACGGAATCCAATGCCAACAAATAGGCAGAGGTGATCCTTTCTTGAAATTCTGTCCTGATAAACACTTGGTTCTAATAAGCAATAAACCAACGATGAACACAGGTCATATTTCCATTAGCCGCTATTGGACAGAACCAGAGGCGGGATTGGCACTTACCATAGAGTACCAGTCTGAACTCCGACTATGCGCTAGTACGCGTTCATGCATGTCTGCACCTGATTGGTCGCAGAAAACAGGAGATAGTAAAGCCTGTCTATTCTCGACTGGAAGATGACGTCGCCATATACATATTTAGAGAGGAGTTAGTTGAGCATTCGTCTGAACGCAACAGAAACGCTCATCCTTAGCCAACCTGATATCATATTAAGTCTGCTGTAGAAACAGAGATGAAGACAGTTGGGAACATTCACCAAAGGTTAGCAAACCTCAGTGAATTCCCACTACATCATCCGAACTAACTGACGCGAGAAGATTGGTTACAGCTGGTTAACTCTGATCACGATGAAGAGCGAAAGCAACCTAAACGTAAATTGATCAAGAGTCTTCACGTCAATCGCGAGCAGTGGTGGGTGGTGAAAGCGAAAGAGATGGAGGAGGCATCAGCGACAGGTAATAGTCAGCAACTGTTTAGGCTTGGCTTATTAGGGAGACTGGCAAAAAGAAGACGATAGTGAGTGAAACCATCATCGGAAACGATAGGACGTTGATAACTTCACGGGACAGACAGCTAGAACGTTAGGCTGAACACTTTGAAGCACAGTTCAACTAGCCCTCACCAACGCTTCAGTTGTCCAACATCCATAATGGACTTGAATAGCACATAGATGCTGGTCCTCCAACTCTCCCTGTAGTTGAGAAGGCTGTGTCAAACCTTAAACCATTCAAATCAGATACACCTGAGTTTCCCACCTGAAATTTTCAGGGATGGAGGTAGAAAATTACTGAGTAGAGTGACGAAGGTACTGTATTAGGCGATGTATAGGAATCAGAGGTAGTCCAGTCAGACTCGTTTACTTATTTCACTTATCATCCTAGTCTAGAAGAAGGGGGAGAAATCTACAGGTAACAACCATACGGGAAGTAGCTTGACTAATATCGTGTTCAATGTCCTATGATTCATAGTTATCCAATGGTTAACTGAAGCTCGAGAACACCATACTCTAGGAAACCAAGCACGTTTCAGACATGGACGAGAATACATCGATTAGATTTTCACTCTCCGGTAGGTTCCGGAACGCATGTCTACTTAACAGCGACCGATACTCGCTATATTTCTTGACCTGGAAGCAGAATTCGATTTTGACTGTCGACAGTTAGTTGTGTCTGTTTGCAAAGCGAGTACTGCGCAAGTAAATAACACTTAGCAAAGCTCTGTACGCATGGAGTCGTTAAAGGGCTCATGGAGAGTTGTCATGTGAACTGACGACAACTACTGGTGTACGCCAGGGATGTCATTGCGACCGTTCCCATTCAACTTCACTATAATCGTTAAATGGAAATATTCTTAGGTACGTCTAACTTCACAGGCATTCAACTACTGGCTGGAGGTCAAGGGGTTAACTTGGAGTATGCAGACCATATCATCCTGCTCAGTGAAGACGCTGACAAAATGCAGGGCATGCTGGACGCGTTGAACAGAAATCGGAGAATGTTTGGCATACGTTTCGCAATTGTCAATTGTAAGAGGATACTCCAAGGCATCTGCCTCAAACACTCACAGTCTAATGATAGGCAGTGAAGTGGTGAGATGTGTCAACCACTTCACTTACTCGGCAAGCAACATGAGTACAACAAACTGACTGGTTAATGACGAAATCTCAGCTCGGTCACACAAGACACATTTCGCATTCGCCTACTTACTTCATCTGTGGCATCAACTGGTGAGAGATTCGACTACCTATCAAACCACGAGTATACTACACTACACTACACTGTTGTCCGTTTTGTCTGATTGTTCGGCTGTGAGACGTGGTCGGTAAAGATAGGAGACATGAAGTGGTTGTAGTGTTTTGATGACAGGTGTCTTCGTAGGATTGCTCACGTTTGATGGAATCACTGTGTGAGGAATATTGAGGTCAGGCGAATGGTATTAGGCAAGATAGGTAAGTGGATTGGTGATTTTGTGAACCTTAGTCGACTGAGATTGTGTGGACATGTAATTCGCATGCCAAGCCACCGCCTTTGTTGACGTGCTATAGCTAGAGGAAGTTGAATTAGGTTGGAAGAGTTCAGGGTGGCTAAACGAAGACGTGATACCAGTTGAAGTCTTTTACTGTTGGTTTGAGTCGTGTGTGGAGAGATGTAGACTATCTGGTTGGAGTCTCTGAGATGAAAAGAATCAGTAGTTGAGGACTGTTGGTGACATGGCTGAAAATCGGTCACAGTCACAGTAGATATGTTTACTTCTTTACGTCTTCCAAAGCTTGAATATTCTCACTAACCTTTATATTCGAACTGCTTATTGTCTCATACTACCTTATATGCTTTGATATCACGTTTTGTACTACTGAGAAGTGTGGTAAGTTGAGGCGAAGCAGTTGTGTATGAGGTTCCACGTTGATTTTGTGAGTGATCCTTAAAACTTGTAAACGATTAATCCGCTTGGTAAATTTCATCGGCAGAATGAGAAGACAAATTTTATTAGAAACGTATGATGTATTAGTGCTATACATGTATGTGTAAACATATACATAGGGAGGAACAATCGTGACATACAGTTGAGAATGTCTGCGTGGCTCCAGAAACAAATGACCTGTAATACGCTGATAAGTGCAAATGACAACATCCTTCCTTACCAACCGCAAAACACTTATTAGAAACTCATCATAGGATTGATATGAAAACAGCTTTCACTATAGTGTATTGTAAAGACGAATTCTTAGATGTATATAAATGTAAACCGCTTTAAGTAGTTAAACGCAAATCATTGTTACACTAAACCTAGCCTGGTAGTATTCATTTCAACATCTTCGATACTATGGTGGTGATGAGTTGAACTTTTTGTGCATTTATTCTGCTCCTGTTATCCTTCTTACTCTTAACTCCATTTCCTCAATCAACATTTTAGAGTTTTCATACAAATAATTCGATGAGTTTATGTGTGAACAGATTTTTCGCAATTTCTAGCACTACGGCACTGCATGTTTCAGATAATCTTCGTATTTGCATTACGCTGTTAACTTATAAAAATGTAATTGACCAACAGATTTTTGTGTCAGGTTTCATAGGCGTATACATAAATTCCTCAACTTCTTAAAATATTTATCTTTAGCATAAGAAATATTTCTCCTCATCAAGTGGTATTTAAAAACTCATTGTTAGCCTATAGAGAATGACTATAAGGAGGAAAACAACCTTTAACACTAAACACAGTGTAGACCACATATGAATGATAATTAACACTAGTGTACCTGACAACTACTGCGGACCCCATGATGTTGCATATAACATTTTACCAACCGAAGCAAATTCATGTAATAGCTATATAGAAACTTCATTTGAATCAGTTCTGCGTTGCTTAACATTTAAATGGATTACTGATGCAATTCCATTAAGCTACATATAATAAAGACGATTCAATCTTAATTCAATCCATAAAGAATCCATTAGTACAAGGTGTTCATATCAATAAAATCCAAACCCCGGTGAGAATTTAGATCAGGTAACTTAACCAGAATAACTGAAGTGTTATCATGTAGACGACAATCATCAGTGTAAATAGTAATGGGTTTAGAAATTCATAGGAATTCGAAAAAAAATCGTATTTGGAATATCAGCGAACCTGTCAACCAGTTCTGGCAAGGTTCTACAGTCTTTCCCCCTCTAGAATAGCAGAGGAGAACCAATGATAGCAATTCAGTGATGTCATGAAAAGCGAGAACACAAATGAAGAGGAAGAAAATAAAAAGATATTTAAGATTAGAAAGTTATGGAAATGTACCTGTACCAAAGTGATTGGTATTGAACTTGACGCTTGACCATAACATCGCTCCTTAGGAACAATGGCTACCCGTATGGTACTACTTGTTGTGGATACGATATGACAGAAGTTTCGCCAACTTTTAGTAACGTATTGATTGATGTATGAAAACTGAAATTAGTAGACCAGTGATGCATGTTTGACATTTTCAAGGTCCCCATAGGAAGGTTTATATGTGGTTGCTTTAGGTGTGTGGGTGGTTGCTAAACAGCATTTTTATTTCTGGATAGGGATAAGTCGTTAGTGATTGTGAAGTACTGATATATATATGGAAGAGAAAAATAAATCAACTTATAAGATGCTATCAAGAAAACAGACTTACATCGAAAGTGTTCTTGTTTGGGTTCCAATCCGTGAAACGAAAGTTTTGTAAAGTAGAACATATTGATAATTGATTTAAAGATTTTGTAAGTATAGTAGACAAAAACTCAGTAACATTTGTAATATTCATGGGAGTTGTTGGTTGCGTATTAGCCACTTTACGCAGCATGACAGGTGTTGATGAATCCAAGATTAACTCACATGAAGCATTTGCAGTAAAGAGTTGATTTAACCGTAACTCAGCAGTACCACCATCGTCATAAACAGCCGTTTGATGTTGAAATAAGGGATCAACCTGTATCAGGAAGAAATAAAATTTGTAGATTGTGAATATGATGGTTCTAGCTCCATAAACTGAACTGACCTGCCTTTTATTGATAACAATGGATGTGTTGTATGTGGTGGCAAACAATACATCAACATTACAAAAAGCACCAAATATTTTGAAACAAAGACGTCCATAGGTACACTTAAATCCATGCAACAACTTACATCGACTTTATCAGCTAGTGTCTTAATCCGAATTTTATTCAATTGTTTTTGAATCACATCCCGATGTACTGCAGTCTTTTTCTTTTGTTGTGGTTTAGATTGAACATGTGAATCATCATTCTCATCAGCATTGTTAGTATCGCTCTCGACTTCTGCATTTTGAGGGTTACCTGAACGACCGAGTCCCGTAAGCACTTGATAAGTTTCTTGATGAACAGCATCCACACGGCCAGCGTATATCTTCGCCCCAGCATCCAACGATGAACTGGCGATCTATAAATCAAATAAAAAGCAAAGGTATCACACGTTTCTGTGGTAAAAAAGAAACTCAAGTATGATACCAGAAACCACGTGAGGTAAAGTTTACGATAATGGATGTATGGCGGTGTTACGAAAGGGGAAGTGGTTACCAAAAGGTGACTTACGCTGATTTACTACGTTAGACGACACACATCAATAGTGTAAATGGCTTTTGTGGCACCTGTGATATCCAATTGCTCATTAAAGGTTGATTATATTACACAGTAGATCACTTCTTCCCACCAGATAGTCGTGAAACACGATCAGTAAAGATGAAGGATAAGAGATTTCAGATGTTTTTCATATTATTACCAGTGTAGGGTGAAATCATCAAGGCACCGAATTATAGACAAAATAGGTAAGTCAGTTGATGAGGCTACTGGCCTTCGTCGACTCAGGGGTTGGATTTGTTACAAAGGCTTAGTTGCCACTTACCCTTCCCCACATAATGTTAGTTGAAGTATAATTATGTAAGAAAAAAGTTGAAATCTATTCCTGTTGAATTGAGATGTGTGACTAAATACAAACTCTTAGGTTGAAGCCAGTGTGACAACTGAAATCATAGCTTGGAGATTCCAAGTGACAAAGTTCAGAAATGATCGCAGTGCAGATGCATCCACATCACTCTGACCATAGTACTACATTTCGTTATCTGCTTTACCCCTCTCTTTACCGTTTTTTTTAAATTCTCTAAGACACTTGTTTACATTTTTTCCTATTTCGCTTTCTTTCATCTTGGTACCTTGTATCCTGATGTGCTGTTGTGAGATGCGGCAACTTAAAACCACTACGTACCAATACTTCTTATGTTGATAGTGACGGACCATAGACTGTCTAAACCCATTGCCTAACCTTTGTGGAGGCCAAGCTCTACATGTGTGCTTTTCACTCCTATACTTTAGAAATGAGTGATAATCTGAATAGACTGAGAGTGTTTGAGGCAGATGCCTTGGAGTATCCTCTTACAATTGACATTTACGAAACGTATGCCAAACATTCTCCGATTTCTGTTCAACGCGTCCAGCATGCCCTGCATTTTGTCAGCGTCTTCGCCGAGCAGGATATCGTCTGCGTACTCCAAGTCAGTCAAATGAACTACGGAGAGTAGATCAAATCCTGCCATATTTAAGGTACTGTTAAGGAGCGATCTGAATCGAAATCAGCATTGTGAGTCATCAGCCATCAAGGTAGAAGTTTTGGATTTCAATGCTGATTTCGTGTTAGTGTGTAGGCGCTGAAACCTTATCGAACAGTTTTGTTCTTTAGATGATCAATGAAAATAAGTATCCAACTTTGACCAAATGGCTTTATTTTCCGAGGGAAAACTGTATATAAAAGTGTTTTCTGTCAAATAAAGTTGTCTACCTTATAGTTACAGGTCGGTCTTTGTCTTCTGATTTTTGCAGTTCAGTGAAGTGTCACGCCTGAGGGAGAACAGTTGCTACTTGTATCCAGTCCAAGTATTTCACTTGGCGTTACTGTCATTTGCGTACTTCGTATTACCCAGTAGTTCATTTCCATCCGAACACTGCAGGTGCCTACGGTTGCGTCTACTGGTACATCAATAACGAAAACAGGGACGGTGACAATGGGCATCCCTGGCGGAGACCACTAGTTGTCACTTCTGATGAAAACTCTCTGTGAGCTCTAACAGGGCTGCGTTAGATTTGAGTAGGGAGCTGTGATTAGTGCTAGGTACGATTTCGGTAGTAATCTCATAGACATTGTCAAAATACCTCTCAAACGGCAGAGTCGAGTGCCGTCTTCAGGTTAGGAAATATGGTTAGCATCAGCCGATGGTAAAAATGCATACCTTACAGAACCTTACTAAGAGTGAAGACTTGTTAAAATCGTCTTGTTCAAGTCAGAAAACTACTTGCTTTTCAAGTGCTTTTTGTTCTTGAGATAAAGTTCGGCATCGAAAAACTACAGACCCCAAGATCTAAAATACGATAGTAGTGAAACTGACTACCTTACGGTTGTTCCAAGGTTTCTCTCCTTTCCTATCGACATTAGTGATTAGTAAAATACATCAGTTTTACAGCAGCACCTGGGAATTCCAAACACTGATGCGCTCCATCGTTTCACGTTCGATACAGTCTTCTCAGCTCCAAAGAGAGTTGGAGGACAAACATCAATGTCCTATTCAGGTTCAGGCTGAATGATATGCACCTAAAGCGTTGTTTCGGGCCAGTTCAACTGTACTTCAAAATGATTTTCTGCCAAACTTTCTAGCTGTCCACCCTGAAAGATTTTCAGCGTCCAGTCCTTTCAGACGATGGTCTCACTAACCATAGCCTTCTTCTTGACAGTGCTCTTAACAAAACTAAATTAGTGACCGGTTACTACCTAACGCTGATGCCCGCCTCCATCTCTCTTGTTCTCGATACCCACCACTGCACGCGATCATTGTGAAGACATGGTGGATTTACAGTTAAGATGCTATTTCTTCTCATTGTGATCAGAGTTTTCTCGCACGAATCAGTTCGGTTGACTTTGTGTAAATCCATCGACATTTACTAACCTTTGGATGTAGGTTGACAACTGTCTTCATTTCTGTTTCTACAGGGACTTAGTATCACGCCAGGCTTCATCAAGAGGAGAATTCCTGCCATCTTCAGAAAAGTGTTTAGATATTACTGTGAACACACCCTTCACGTTCTCATCTAGCCATTGGGTCTTCAGGTACTAATAAAAGGAATTCTGGAGATTTACCGAGACGGCTATTTGACGTCAAGTGGATAATTACACTCAGGTGCCGTATATGTCTCAGAAACAGCATATGGCCGTGGTTTGATAATCCAGAGTTCTGGCGAGCGACGACATCTGCTCTTGGAATTGGCTTAAGTTGCGGCCGTTCAAAGCTCCAATATGAAGTCGATAGCAGGATCTTAAAAGACTAAAAATGAGATGTTAGCAATGGTGGTAGTATCAAAGACTGAAGGATTCATAACATTGGTATCAAGAAGTGAAGGCAAAGAAGGGGATAGACGTGGGTAGAATACATTATTTTCGACTAGACCTTGTCAACTACTGAAACTGTGTCGGCGGTTGACAGTTCCCGGCTGCTCACATCGTGGATGGTTATCTCATCTTAAGGTTATCTGAAAGAGAAAAAGATTTGTGTGGCCGCAGAGCCTATGGAATTCCTGCTTCAGACCTGTCGCACAGCCTTTTGAGGATTGTTGGTGTGAGATGTGATTATTTTAACACCGGACAGAGAAAATGTATGCTCCCGGCACCGGAAGACAACATTCCAGGGAAGGGTGTGGTATTTTTAGAGTCAACCTTTCCTAGTCCTCCCTCTCGTGGAGAAGGCAGAATCAGCATGGCTCTGCTGATCATCAATGGGAAACACCTCACTGCTGTCACACCCTATCCAATTAGCAGTGGTACGACTTCGCTCTGAGACCTTCACCATAGTGTAGTAATTTACACTTCAACGGTAATTACTTTTCGTCTAACCACTATCCTACAGAGCTTTCTGGTGTGGTAGGACCTCGAGAGAACAAGCATTCCAACCAGTGTAGCTTGTTCGGTCGTTGTGATAAACAAGTCCGGCGACGACGTCAGGGTAGCAGTTACCGGTGGACAGGTAAGGCAGAGCGTTTCGGTGATGGAAATTATCATTCACTGAGCAAACTCATCATTAAACACCGGTTTCGACGACTAGATCAATTATTAAGAATGAGGTGATTCATTGATTTAATCACTCGCCTTTCAAATTACAGGATACGAGTATCAACTCTAACTGACCTCCACTGACCAAGGTAATCGGGCCGTGTTACATACTCTCATACAATATGTGGTTCACAACCTAGTAAATAAACACCTGTACCAGAATGGCTCTTAATGTCGTCCTAGCAGGTCATAATCACTGTTTAATAGGTGTGCGACTGGGTGGAAGTGAGGTGGTTAGTGTCACGTGACACCACGAAGTGAAGGAAACTTGTGTTAGCCTGGTAACTGCTGGTCCCAAGTCTACTTAAGTACAGTCACGAAGATCATGCGACTCAGTACCTTGAGACGGAAACGACTACAACCTCGAAGTTAAAACCGAAAGCGATCATTTTGCATCCATCCATCCAACCAGATCAACCTAGGACCAGGCATTACTGCGAAACGGTAAGAGTTGCCACACCTCATATAAGTACATCAACTAAAAAGGTAGTGAGGTGAAAGATGAAGATAAGAAAATTCAGTCAAAAGAAATATAAAGTACTAAAAGACAGAAACGAAGAATGAGAAAGTGGTGAGATTCGGTATAGCATTGTTAAGATGAGGATAATGTACATATACATCAACGCCACTGCCATCCGTTCTCAACCATATCACCCAGAGCCTCCAATCACTGGTTACTCTTGTTCCCCTGACCACAACCACCTAGTCCGCATAGCCCTACATCGCTCAAACCAACTGTCAGAGACTTCACACATTGGTGCCATGTTTTACTCTGGCCACCTCAAGCCTTTTTCTAGCCTGGTCCTACTTCAGCCAACATTGTGTGATGAGGCAATCGGCAACTAGGCATACGTAACACGTCTCCCAACCAACCATCTCCGTCGATGAAGGTTCACATACTCGTCAACCGACCTACCTCTTCTCCCTTAAACTCTACTCCTGACTTCTGTGTTACTCACATGGTGACACCACGCAATACAGCCTATACTACGAACGCAACGGTGGTCAAACACTTAAAGCCAGCCTTCTCATGTCTTCCACCTTCAATGGCGGCCACGTTTCACAACTATACAGTAAAACACAGCAGACTGATGTGAAGTACATGCAACCCTCAGGAGACAAATGAATATCACGGCGGCGCCATAGCTGGCCTAAATTGGCAACAGCCAATCGAGCCTTTTATACCCGTGCACAGATTTCATCGGCCACCACCATCGTCCCACCAGGGATGATCCTAATTCCCAGATAAGTGAAATGCTCAACACACTCAACCACGACACTCAGTCTCTATT